TAACCACATTTGCCACTAGGACTGCATGTAGTAGTCTAAAGTAACCACAACTTTCTTCACACACACATAATTGAATTGTGACAAAGGGGGAAACGATAGTTAGGCTACAAAATGAAGAACTTCTAATATAGCTTTTCCTTCCTATGAAAAAGTTGATGAATGCAGCAAAATCAAAGCAAACTACACACAAACAAACTCCACGCAGTTTTATACGATATCATACCGTCAAACAGCGAAATCTTCTTGTGATCGAACTGGATGTTGTTTTTCTTGGCAAAGATGTAAACAGAGCGACAGGGCTGCGACAACAAATCCAAATACATTTCCAAAGACATTTTTTAAAGGACCTGACTAATACACTGAAGCACAACCCAGTCCAAAACTGAAAAAAGAAAAGAAAAAAAAGACTGCACTGCTGCACACGAACTTACTGCCTACTAGGTTATAACTACTGGTTACTACTACACCACACCCCGTTGAACTCTGTTCCTAAAGAGCACATGTCATCGTAAGTGTGTACATTTTATCACAAAGAACACAAAATGACCCAATAATGGTAACATTTAAAGTTAATAATGTCAAATGAGAAAGAAAAAACTTTGGAGACATTTTTTTCCATTTTTCTTCCCTCTCTGGTACAATGAGCGCCATCTGTCGGAAGTCGAGGGTATTTTGACCGTGACAGCTCATTGAACAAGAAATCTATTCTTTACAAATTAATGTATGCTGCATATTGCTTTGATCAGTGTCTTGTAAAACTACAGATATTGAAGATATCCCTACAGAAGATAATACTAATAAACTACTTTCCTGACGTTAGAAAGTCTTTATAAAACTTGCTTTGAGGTAAAATTGTCTAATCACTTTACAATTTATTAATAATAGTTTATTTATGTGCAAAAAACACTCAGTGTTCTACCTTTCTTATTGAACCACGAGACACAGAGTTCTGAACTTAATTTGTCTACTTCTACTTCAATTTGTCTAAGCAAATGCAACCTACGTTGTACCAAATCCCCCAAATGAATTACACAGACATTTTACTCAAGAGCCTTTTTTTATTGTTTTTGCAAATCTTTATTTGGAAGGCTGAATCAATATTTTTGACAAACACAATCTGACTCTGTACTATGCCAAAGAAAACATGTTTGAAACTTATGTCTTTAAAATAAATGTGCAATTCATAAATCACTCTAAACTGACTACATGCTTTGAATAATTTGTATGGCTTTTGCAAGCCTGTGTAAACTCGCGCCCGATCGGAACAAAATCCGGCATCCGACCACGGAAGGTCTTTACGTGCTACTGTCTTTTCTCTTGGAAAAGCATTTTGATTAAATGCAATACATTTTCTCATATGTATTTTCTCACTATTTCATCTGACTCCATAAATCAAAAGGTTTTAATGATATCCGTGCATCATTAAATGTGAGCGAATGTCAAAGTCAGTATAGACAAACATGTATAACTCGATGATAATCATTCACATTAAACCATTTAGATTCTTGGGTGAGTTTTTGGTGATCTTCGCATGGGGGAGAAGGAGTGGGGGATGAGGGAAAGTATGTTAGGTGAGACTTTTGTCTCAAATGGTGAGTTCAAATGGTAATTTCCAGAGTGGTCATTCCTCAACCAGTTCTTCCAGTTTTTCCAGTCTTACACTTGTGATTAGAAAGAAGTATGAAGCAAAAACTCACCCAAGAATCATTCTTGATTCTTATATGGTCTGATTTGACCGATAGATGTGGTTAATCGATAACTGATTGATGTGGCACTTTCCCTGAAAAAGTTTGACAAACACAATGCTAATGGAATACATTATTATAATATACTCTCTTAACTTCATTTCTTCAACCTTTTAAAAATAAAAGACACACCCAACCCACTATGACTCGCTATCAAAATGCTAAATGAATTTTATATTTCACATATTAGTAAACAGATTATTTTCAAATCACATAAATTAGCTACTTTTCAAGAGAACCTGGAGATGTTAATGCAAAATATTCTTAATCCGATAAGAACACAACTTCCTTTTAACCCAGCTAGCTGAATCCCAAATAGGAATCACATATGAAGAATTCACTTTCAAACAAGGAAGGCCTTATAAGAAGCTCATAACTGTTCCTTTCTTCCCAATCTGCCACGGCTCCAGAGGGTAGAACAATATCAATATACTGCAACAGAACAAAGAAGAGAAAGGCAATCAGGACATTATATTTTATAACGCAAACTATGGCTTGAACAAAGGTCACTTTTAAGGCAAGTTGGTCTATCTGGTAGCCATTTTGAATCACAATCAGATCCCTAGTTCAGTAGTCAGGGCCCTGACCAGGGAGTCATTTTAAGGGCTATCTCAATGGCAAAATCCTACCAGTGCACTGAAACATTTACTCCCTAAAAAGTCCCACAATGCACCATGAAAACCAGGGATCCAAAAATCGCATAGTCTCTTGAGAAGGTACTTATTTTGAACCGCCAAAAAGTATGTTCTATGTAGAATGAATGTGTGTAGTTTGAATGTAATCCATATGACCTACTAACGTCAGTTATATCGCTTCACTGCCTTTCACAAATCCTCTCCCATGGTCTCATGGGATAGTAGTGTCCACCATATGCACACTTCAGAATCTCTTCAGAAGTAGTCGGTCATCCTACTCTTTTATGATTCCTGTGAATTCGGACATACTTCTTTTGTCACACTGTTTTTAACCCACTATATAGTAGGGAAGTATGCGATTTCGGATGCACCATATGTTCCCTAAACTGAAATTCTGAATAAAAATAATAATAATAAATAAAATGATACAAAGCAAGTGAGCCGACTCAACACACATAATAACACGCAAAAGATGTTTTTAAAATACTATTATTTAATTATATTTCAGCATATACATCTCTAGGCAGATAACAATCTAGCTAACATTTGTAATTTTGTTTACGGCTGAAATGTTGCATGTATAACAAGCAAAGTGTTTATACTTTCAATAACATTTAAAAAATAATGCCAGAAAGACATCAGTTATGCTGTTGTGCATAAATACCAGTAATGATGTTGTACAATGAGGATGGTGTCATGTCGCCGAAAGAGTCATCAGCAGGGTTGCCAGGTCTGTGCAACAAAAGATTTTCTCCATCGGGGGGCTGAATTTATACGTCTGGGGGCTGTTTTGGACCGCCGAAATCCTACTTATAGTGATGGAAAACCACGGACTTGGCATTCATCAGTGTCCCAATGGCTGTGTCCGAAATTGCATACTTCCCAACTATATAGTAGGTGAAAAACAGTATGTGACAAAAGTAGTAGGCTATGTCCGAATTCAAAGTACTCATGAAACAGTAGGCAAAAAGTACTCGGATGACCTACTTCTTCTGGCGAGATTCTGAAGTGTGTTTATGATAAAGATACTTTACTATCCCGTGAGACCACAGGAGAGGATTTATGAATGGTAGTGAAGCAACACAACTGACCCTGGTAGGTCACATGATAATGACACCATGGCGAATGTAATAAGTCCAAATTACATTCATACTACACACATTCATGCTACCTAGAACCTACTCAAGAGAGTGTGAGATTTCAGAGGCAGCCAATGTGTAGTGAGCCAAGGTCCTTACCAGTGCCAGAATACGTGTACATAGTATACTAATTCACAACCTAGGGAACTAGGGAGCTGAATGATATACACCCCAAGATTTTCTACTTATTAACTAGTCAATAGCAGGTGGGATTTATAAAGGGGGAGGAGGAACAATATCAAATAGCCATGCACATTAATGTAATGTCAATCAACAATATTTTGGTCTGTCTTTCACAAAGACAGAACAATTAAATATGTATGTTAAACGTTTTTTTGTTGTTTATTAGATTTCAAGCTCTACATTGTAACTGTTATTGAAGTAGGTAACTAAAGATCGCCAATATATTCAAGGTGTGTTCAACCCTGTGTTTTCCCGTCTTTATTGTATTAATTTACCGGTCATCGCTCAGCCCTAACTCTCCTTTCAGGAACTGGAAGATTTTGGCGCTGTGCTCCTTATTCTTCTCCGCAGTATCAGTCACTCCAATGGCAGACACGGACATCAACACACACGGGGAGCAGGACCCTGCGATCATCATCGGCAGGTCAGTCTTTACCACCAGATTCATCCTCTGGAGACATGGCGGCGGAAGTCATATGACCAAGGTCAATGCATAACGTTATAATACGCGGAGAAAAAATCTCTTCTGTCCACACACCATTGTAAGAACAACTTTTTTTTTTTTTCATACTCACGTCTTCCGGTTTCCCCAACGCTGTAGCCAATGTAGCGCATAGTCTTTTCAGAAAGTCTTCTGGAAACTTGCTTGCAGGTAAGTTAGTTTCTAAATCTATGAACGGCATTTTTTCACAAGTTACTGCTGCCGACTAATGTGTGAGAACGTTACAGCTCCTCTTCTTCCTTGAGATACACCGCCCTCTCTGATTGGTTGAAAGACAGAGACGCCTGTTCACCGAGCTCTGTGATTGGTCAGCGTGCCGAATTCCTTTCACGCCTCTTGTACGGATGAGATTTAAACAGGTTGAATCAAAGATTATTATTATTTTATTCAAAATGAATGTCAATAAAATTGCAATGTTACAAAATAGTGGTTCTATTCTGCATACTGAATCCAATGCTCTGTTCCTTATTGTTGGTGTAAAGTAAATGCTTGTCAGTATTTGTTTTTTCTTTACTTCTGACAAACTAAGAGATTGTGTAATCAAGTCTTGCTGAGCAAATTTAGTTAGGAAATATGTCATATCACTAGTTATCAGGCTTTTGTTTTGTAACTCTATTAAATCCTTGTAAGTCATTAACAAATCATTATCAAACGGCATGTTTCACGTGCACATGAAACGGAGTAATGTGCCGAAAAGTTACACATCAGAGCAGCATGACGACATATTATTTTGTATGATATGCTTAAAAAAAATAAACCAAAGAAAAAAGATAAATAGCAGCTTTTTAATTGTACAACATCATTTACATGATCTCACATTCAGAAGTACTGGTATGTATTTCACAACTATCTACATAATAAGTAATTCACATTAACTGCTGGAGATTTCGAGGACCAATCTTCAATCTAGTGTTTAGATCTTCCAAGTTCTCCATCACACCAGAGATGTTACACCTAAAGGGACAACATATCATCATTCCAAAGACAAGAGTTTTTATTTGTCACATTACATAAATGCAAGTGTATCTTTCACTTTATTCATGAGTAATTTTTACAAAACATTCTGTCGCATTTCAAGCACTTTGAAACAAAACAATCCGATTTGAAATTGTTGTTGTCTGTTGAAAAGAGGCTTACCCTGTGAGAGTTTGCACTGCTTAAGAGCTTCATTGAAGCCTTCGCACAAGGTCAGATCAGCCTGAGTCGTGGCGCAGTCCAGGAACTGCCTCACCTCAAAGAGACACGGGCCAGACTGAGAGGGTGGAAGTCGTGAGGGCTCCTGAAAACATGAAGAAAACAGACAGAGAAATACAAGATGAGGAGATGTAACCAGGTTTTGGTGCTTCTCGGTTTGTTCCATATTCTTCATGAAGATAAAAAAGTACATTAAAATCAATCTTATCATCACATATGCAAGCCAGCGATCCATTAGACAAGTTTACTGAAGGTGATAGTGACATTTTAAGGAAAACTGCACCCATGGAAATTTAAATATTAATTATTTTATTTTTTTGGAGCCGGATATATGTGGGCACTATGAACTGTTGTTGCCGAGTGCAACAGTCGGGTTCTGGAAGTAAAAATCCCATTCATTTTCTCCATAAGATAATACGTTCTTTAACAGTTACTGTCACCCCCCTTTTTGAGAATGGATGTTAAAATGCACTATTCAAACTTAAATGGTTGTGATTCAAGAATGCTTTGGAATATTGTCGAAGTGAAAGCACTTAAAAAAATGAAAGTATGAAAAAGTTATGGGAGTTTAAATTTACAGTAAATCAAATATACTGTACTTAATATTTTTTATTTTATATAAAATATATATTTTACAAAATATGTTTTACTATAAAATTTCTATAAAATCAAAGCCATTTATCTTACCAAGTTGTGTTCCAAATTTTTAAGTTGATATCACAAAAATTGAAGTTCCCATGAGATTTTGTTTAGGCGTAATACCAAAAAAAAATGTATGCATTCTGCCTTAACAAATTAATACATTTCTGTCCAAATATCACTTCTTTCACAAAATATGGAACCTTGAGACTCAGACCTTTCTGACAATATGTGTTTTGTCAAGATTAGAAAAGTTTTTGATAATAAATTATGAAACATGATGACGCCCAAAAGGGGAGGAGCCCGATAAAATAATTTAGAGTACCGTTTCTATGGTAACGCAGCGTCCAATTTCAAAACTGTTTTCACCGGATGAATTCTGAGTTCGTAAGCTTTCAGATGATACCTAATTTATGATAACTACTAAAATAGGCTATGTGATGTAATAAAAAAGGTGATATTTTAATATAATACATATAGAGGATAATATTATTTTATCATTTTCATTGACAAATACTAGATTATATGTTTTATTATGAACTTTTAGCATGAAAACCAAAGTTTCAATTATTAAAAAAGTGTGCGTCGACTTTTTGTGATAAAGGTCAGAACTCCTGTTATGATGTAGATTTTTTTTTGAGGTGCACTCATGTCATAAATTCATCTATTACTGTTCCTACATAATTTGTAACAAAAAACAGTGCTAAAATATCTATTTAGGAGTCTTAGATCTTTCCAACAATACATAGTTTGTCATGATTAGATTAGGATTTAATTGTAATATAGTGAAGTAAACTTAGGCGTCCCGGTACCGGGACGGGTTAACAACAACTTGTAAACCATTAAAGACAGAGTAATGTGAGTTACGAGGTTGTTAATCAATGGTATATGCTTTTGTTGATCCAAGCCGTCCGCATTATTTCAACTTTTTTAAATGATCATGTTTAACAGCAGAATTCCTGGTGAAAAACTACATTACCCATGATTCTGCACCAATCAGAAAAATGTAAGTCCCATGACGCACTGTGAAAGCACTCCCTACACTCCCAAACTACTTAAATATTTGTAAACAACATCTCTAAATCAACAGTTTTATATATATGTGGTTTTTAATTTGTCATTTGCAATGCTTCATGGGATTTTAGTTCTTTCCCTCAAAGCCTATAAGTCTTGTACCTTTATCTTTTTATACTTTTTTTGCTTCAAATCAAAGTTTGTAATGTCTTAACTTCGGATGTTTTGGTTCGTGGCTTATAACTCTGTAATGAATCCTTTTGAAAAATCCCAATAAAACAGTTGCACTCAATGGAAAAGAAAAAAAATATTTTGTGTTTCACAGAGAAATATGACATTTTTTCAGGCATCACCTGATATGTAGGTGCTGGTTTGGGTGGCTCCGAGCTGCTGCTGCTGCCTCCACTGAAAGCACCTGTGATGGCACTGCCCATCACGTGCCCTACAGCCGAGCCGACTGCCACTCCGGCAGCTGTGGTGGCCATTTGGGCCATGAGACCTGGTTGCTTGGGCTGGACCGCGGCAGGGGCCACTGCCATTGGAGGAGCTGGTGCGGGGGCTGGAGCATAGGATGGGGCAGGAGCACTGACAAGGAAATAAGGTGAACTATGTTATTGAGTCTAAGTAACTATAAGCAAGTTATACATGCATATATATATATATATATATATGTATATAACGAATATATTTTACATTAACCTGAATTAGTATCACGTGATGCAAACACGACTTAGTTTGAGCTGCTTTTGGCAACTTCAGATGGAAAGAAGTCTTATACCTGCTTGCGTCATGTAGGCTATTCAATGACATACATTATGCATAAATAAATACTAAGCAGATAGTAATGCTTTTCAACTCCTTGTCACTAAGAATAAGGTTTTTGGTTTGACCTTTCACCTACTCTCTGGTCTGGATGTATTTAGGATACACAAAGGTGATATCTGAATTCCCTAAGCAAACAAACATTAGTGGGGGGTTTTCTACAGTCCCACAGTCTGGAGTTTTTCCTTGAATGCAGCTAACGTATCGTGTAACTTTACTCCTACATTGAGTCAAAATAAGCTTGCAGCTCGCTAACGCAGATTTACAGTGCTTAACAAAACTACCAGTTGGCATACCTTGCTTGTGCTGTTGAAGGACGACTGCGGCTTCCTCTTGCCATTTCAAAAGTAGATCGTAACCGCAATTAATGCCCAATTATTATTATTATTATAAAGTCTCGAACAAAGCGCGAGGGTAGTTATATGTTCTCTATCCAGTGTATCCACACAGAGTAGTGCTGAATGACAGCCGGTATGCGCACGTGCGTTTGACCTTGTGTTGTAACTCTAACTACAGAAAATGGCGCATGCGCGCGTCAGTGTTCTAGAAATTTGTAGAAAAGCGCCTCGATAAAAAATTTTTTGTGTGTACGTCACATAAATGTATTATGTATAACAGATATGCTCGAGTGATTTCTAAGATTTTCATAAACTACCCAGGCAAGATAGTAGAATACTGGCTCCTCTTTCTTATACGATATTTGAGATTGAGGGAAGAATGATTTGACAGATTTTTTAATTTAATTGTCTAAATTCATGACTGTGAATGTGAAATCCTTTCCCACATTTTACTAAACAGAAACACAACACTACATTACATCTTATGTCACACTCACGTCTCACAAGCATTCCCACTAGATGGCACTAAAATATCGGCATTGAAACCATCGCTGTGAACGCAGATCCATTTGAAGAACTGTAAGAATAATGGGGTAATTTCAATTTGGCACAGAATAGAGCGAGTGGAAAATGTAGACAAAAATACAGAGGCTCTATTAAATGTGTTATGTTTTATTGTATCATGTGTTCATTGTGTAAAGCTGTAGGCTACTATTTTATCTCTCTGTTGGGAAGATAGATAGCCTATGCCTGGCCTACTGTTTGTCTTCTTTAATCCATTCGATTTTTCCCAGAGTGTCATGTAGAATTATTTGCATGTGAACATAGTCAGTTCTTTTGCTGGTTTTATGTCTAAAAATGTAATGTGTGATGATGTTTTTGACATATTATTTCAAAATCTATTTCAATGAGCATCCTTGCTTTTCTAAATCAAATTTAAGTTCAGATAAATCTTGTAATCCATTTGTTAATAGTTCTGTCAATGTTCATTACATATAATTTCAAACATGGCATTCTTTCTTGTGAATGCCCAAGCTCAGATTTTCAACTCATTTAAACTCAAACATTGGGAAATTTGACAACAGGAGCAGCTTCACCATTTGCTTTCATTATAGGCATTCTTCTCAAGGATAAAGTATTGGTTTGAAATAACATGAGGGTGAGTAAATGAGGACAACGTTTTGGGATGAACTATCCCTTTAAATTCTTGAATCACACAAGCATCTGTAGTCTTAAATAAATCTGTGAAGAAAGGTTCAACTTTAGGCAAAATGGAAGATTGTAATTTGACATAAATGCTTTTTAGTCAAATCCAGGGACATAAACATAAAAACAGCACAAACAATGTCCAAGATTGTGTTGTGGTTACAGCTGGCCTGATAATTTCTGCTTAGTGTGTGGCATGGGGGAGCTCAAATTTACTTAAATTGGCATGATTCACACCCCAATCTCAGATGGCAGGAGGTGATTCAGCATACATAGGCTTTGTATAAGGTTCTGCCTTATTTCAACATTATAGGTCTGTTGTGTCTACATTATATGACTTTATGAGATTGAACTTAATTAACCATTAGGGCTCAACAGGAATACCGTGTCCATTATGGTCCGTGATGAGGTATGCACCAGAGTTCCACAAGCCTTTGTGGTGAATTCCAAAATTCCAATTAAAAGCAAAAAATCCAAGAGGTAAATATAGTGCAATAATTTTGTTATGTACGTTTTGAAAAATTCTGATATCAGTTTAAAGTGTTAGTTCACCCAAAAAAGAAAATCCTGTCATCGTTTACTCACCCTCAATTGTTTCAAACCTGAATGAGTTTCTTTCTTCTGTTGAAGATATTTTGAAGAATGTTGGTAACCAAACAGTTGACTGTAGCCATTGTATGGAAAACCACAGTATGGGAAAAAAAAAATACTATGGCAGTCAATGGCTGTATACCGTCAACTTCAGCATTCTTCAAAATATATTCTTTTGTGTTCAACGGATGAAAGAAACTATATATATCACTGTGGCAACATTTGCATCTCGCATCACAGTGCAAAACAACAAGTTGCACTAAAGCCAGCTTGTGTTTTTTAACCTCCACTCCTTCTCCATGCTCTTTCTTGTGGTCACAGGCACATGGGATGGAGGGCTCAGGGTGAGGAGGGGTAGAGGCTATGATTCATTTCCACGGGGCTTTCTTTCATGTTTCATGAGTGACGTTTAATAGAGCCTCAGGGGTCTGGTTGAAGCTGCTTCCATGGTGGAGTGTTTGAGGAGTCTGGCTTGCATTTTATCAGACTGATGGGGCCCCGGACCCCGAGAAAGACTGACAACAACACAAAAGAAGCTTGTTTTGAACTTCTTGGTCTTCATGATCGAAACCTTAGCTTTATTGTTCTTAATCAACATAGAATTTCACAAATAAACACGTAATTAACAGCTGCATGCTGGTATGGAGCCTATATGGAGCCCTGTAGTTCAACTTGTAGCGTGGCACACGCTACTAAAAAAATATTTTCCTTGAAGGTCCTGTAAGTTGAATGGGTAAATGTAAAGCAAACATCTTGTGTGATAAGCATAAAGATTGCTGATATTATTTGCTGACATGCACAACATAGACCTATACACAATAACATTACAGCAAAAATAGAAGCGAGTCTTTTGTCGAGTTGTTCATTAGAGGCTTCTGAATGCCATTCGTACCGCAAAGGTTCATGATCCTGGTGGGATGTGAGGGTTCCAGCATTGTAATTTCTTTACAGGATTCCTTATTATTGAAAAGTCCTATGGGGCACAGAGGAAGAAAAGGGAGGCTTCAGGTAGTTTTGGCTGTATGATCTTTTTCCACTGTTAACTTTCTCTCCCGATAGGCGTCATTACCCACCTCTTACAACAGACTGAATCTCAAAGAGTTGCACTCCCAAAATATAGCTATAAATGCTTTAAACATTTGGCAATGAAACAAAACATGTCTCATTCAGTAAAAACCCACCTATAACTGCAACCACGCGTTCATATCTGTAATCAAGTTGCACAATGCTGTGTGGTGGTTTTATGTGTGTGTGTTAATAAAATACTAATTTAGCAGGGTAACTAAAGAGTTACTAAACCACAATATCTTTCTGCTTTGAACTTTGTTCGAGGGGTAATTGTGAAGGATTTCACCTGAGGAATCTAAATTTAGAGCACATTGACTAAGCAGAGAAAATGTATGCACTTCATCTCAGATGTACAGAATCGGGAAGAGAGACAGGGGTTATTTTCACTCATTTTACTCCTGACTATTAAAAAAATAATAATAATTAAGGCAATTTTAGTATAAGTGCACATCTTAATCTTAAAGCTATTGAACATTTCTATAATATTTGTATGTTCTGTTTTGGTTTAGTTTCAATGTGTAAAGATGGCTAATTCGTAACAATTCGTACGACCTCACTCGTACGAATTAGTACGATTTTTGCTAAAAACTTACATATTTGACGAGTTGCCCAATTCGTATGAATTCGTACGAATGACCTACCCCTGACCCCGCCCCTAAACCTACCCATCACGTGGGTTTAGACAAATCGTACAAATTCGTACGAATTAGCCCGTACGAATTCGTACGAATTAGCCATCTTTTAATCACTCGTCAAATTCGGACAAATTGGTCGTGAGATAGCGTTGGTTATTATTTTTGTTTTCCTGTGTAATCAAGGTCTGTGCCCTTGATGGTTTAATGATTCTGTTCACCTGTCGTTCTATTGATTAACTCGGTTAGCCTGTGCCCTGTGTAAATATTCTCTTTATTCAGTTCTTTGTCTGGTCTTTTCTTAGTCTTGTGGATGTGTTTTCCCCTGTTATTCTACTCTATATTCTGTTGTTTATTGTATTAAAGACACTTTACTGGAATTATTTGCAGCTATAGGCCTACTGCAACCTGTGACAGCACTATGGTTCACAAGTTTAGGGTCGGTTACATTTTAATTTAAGGCTTTTAAAAGAAGTCTCTTATGCTCACCAAGGTTGCATCAAAAACACAGTTAAAACAGTAATAAAGTGAAATACATTATTACAATTAAAAATATCTGTTTTCTATTCTAATATAAATTGTAAATATTGTCTTCATTTGATGGTAAATCTGATTTTACAGCATCATGACTCCATTCTTCAGTGTGAAATGATCCTTCAGAAATCATAATATACTGATTTGGTGCTCAAGAAACATTTCTTATTATTATCAATGTTGAAAACATTTGTGCTTCTTATTTTTTTTTGTTGTGGAAACTGATCTTTTTTTTTCAAGATTCTTTGATTAATTTAACAGCATTTATTTGAAATAGATTTGTAACAATGTAAAAATCTTTACTGTCAATTTTTATCAATTTAATACATCCTTGCTGAAACATTTTTTTTTTTTTTACTGACCATAAACTTTTGAACACTAACAGCATATTCTATTCCCATATGTTTAGTATTAGCTTTAAGTGTCATTTCAGGTCCTGTACGGACACACCATAATCACTTGTGGAAGAGAACCAGCTGGAGAAGGTATGAATTCAGATCATGTGCTTGATGATACATTAATCATTTTCAGCATGTATCAAATCTTTTACCATAAAAAGTAAAAGACAGGGGATTTCTTACCTGGGAAGAACCCAAAGCTGTTGTACACAATTGAATCACCCAACTATTTTTGGGGGAATTAAAAAAGGACTATAATTCATGGAAGGGTGAAAAATAAGTGTTACCAGACACCTCGTAAAACGGAGTTCAAGTGTTGTATGGCAAAAGACACATTTGTATTCCATTTACTTCTAAGGCTCGGGTTTTGCTATCAGAAATGTTCTTGATACGTTTAAATGTTTATGAGCCAGTGTGATGGCATGAATTGTACCATTAGACAGTCACTCTCTTAAATGGATCAATGTGACTGCGTGTCAGTGATTATGTGATTCAGTCACAGCTTAATGCAATGATGGGAAACCTAATGACCCCTAGCAGATGCTGACTTTGATTTTTGCAGGTGTGCAGATGAGAAAGAGAGAGAGACATACCTATGTTTACGGCTAAAACATCAAATAATGGCATAAAAAGACAAAAAAGCACATTTGAGAAGCATCTCTA